TGGTCCCATTTTATTTTTTAAAAACCCAAACTGCCCAAGGCGAATTTACTGCAGAATCTGGTTCTAGTACTAGTATGTACAAATTTTGGGTGTATTGTTTTCTGGGGACAATATTAATCGAAACAATGAACTATTTAATTATATAACACAAGTGACTATGGGAGAAAAAAATCACTTTTCTAGAAGCCATGGATCGATTAGTTATTTGCAAGATCTCCTCCCCGGCAGGTTCTATAAGGCCATGCCTTTTCTTGCCAGAACTGTATTAAGTCTAAGTTAAGTCTGACACCAGTTCATTTATCTTGGCTTATGAAGAACTTGAGGGACCGGTAAACCCAGTAATGATTTAAAATTTGTAAAAGCAGCATTATATTTTAATAACTGTAAAAATAGAAGAAAACCATGTAAATAATGCTGATTGCTGACATGTATAGGGTGGAATGAACATGTGAATAAAGTACAATATAAATGTGATTAATGCCTGTTTATGTTTATTGTGTAATAGTTCGTGCAAAAAAATATTTAAAAAAAATAAAGTGCGATAGCGGCAGGGACCCCACATATTTTTAAGGGACCCACACATTTTATAAGGGGTGGGTCCCAGGGACTCCACATTATCAAACACTAATGCAACCCTTGTGAATACTTTATTTTCGCTGGAATTAATTTTCGCTGAAAAGGCTTTTCGGGCGTTTTGTATGGAATTTATTTTCACTGACTTTTTTTGAGTTTGATGTGAAATATAAGAAAAAAAGTATATTCGCTGGATTTTATTTTCACGAAATCATCCCTTCAGCGAAAATAGCGAAAATAAATTCTAAGCGAAAATAAAGTATTCTACAGTATTTTATTTCATCAGGCCATTTTTCATTCACTGCGAGTTCCTATTATGCAAGAAATCGAACGTAAAAACAGACTAGATGTGAACTTTTATAATTCCTGGTAACTCAAGCGCATCAAAGAATAGATAAACAACTTACACCAGAAGATAACTGCCGATAAATGCCTGTATTACTACTATTACTACTGACATTACTGTTACTTGGCGTATTGGTCACAGCCACACCTGTTACACCACCACTGCTTGGTGTCTGATATCTCTGATTTTGTTTCTCTTTCTGGAAGTTGAGTGCAGCGGCACTGCCACCACCAAACTGCTTTGTTTTTCCCTCAGTGATGGCAGTCTTGGTGATCTCCCTGATTGCTGCCTTCCGCGTCTCCTCAAACTGTTTGTCAGTTTCACTGTGTTCTTTTTTATTGTCAAGCGATTTGAAACCTAAGCAAATAATAAAAACAAGCAGCCTATCGGCTGAGATAGCTCCGCTGTTAGCAATGCACATTTCAATTAAAGAACTGAAGACATCATTAGAAAATGGACAATATGAATAGTATCAAAGCAATCGGACTTACAGTTTTTAACAAGAAGTCGAAAATATCACTTTTTACCAAAAATGACAAAAATATTCACCAAAATTAGAGAATTAAAGATATCATTACAAAATGAACAAATCTGAAAGAGGTCCACATGTAGTACCTATATATGTAATATCAAAGCAACCG